CCGGATACGTTTGCGTCAATGATCTGAAAGAAATGATCATGAAGTGCCCCGAGGTTAGGATGATACAAAGAATAACTACGGACAAACAAACTGCGCCCATGGAGTGGCCGATGCCAATAAGTCTGTGGTTATTTAAATTGAATTTCGGGTTGCGTGTTAGAAATAGACGAAATATTTTGATGTATTCCTCCCAGGAAACTATAATTGGTCTGCACGGGAGCTTCTTCTCACGACCTGAGGAAGAACGTACAGGCATGATTGTTATATCCTCCACGCATCAATAACTCGTCGTTCAGAATTGCTGCCTGGCCATGGTTCGGACAGTCAATGGCCCACATCTCCCGAATTTGAGGGGATTTGGCCGACTTGATTGACAACCTGTAAAGGGCCTTCATCGTAGGCTCCCATTGCTCTTTGTTTGAGCCTATTCCATGAGCGAATACAAGCGTGTATCCGTCTTCAACGTTCCTATCTCTAATCCGATAGCCTTTTGCTACCGTGCGGAGGGGATGATCAGGATTCCAATCAAGAATGTGGGATTCTGATATTATTTCCATAACACGCGACCTTTCTTTGGAACGGTGAGGTTCTGGATGTGCTATTACTAACAATTCAGCGACAGTGGTAGTGTGAGTTTACCTGGAGACAATGTTCCTACTCACCTTTCAATGCAACGACAAGGTTGAAGACAGGGAATAGACTTCATTCGAGCAATCATCATCGGTCACGGCAGGTGTCGTATGTGCCTTCCGATTGGTTAATTTTTCTGAGTTCCGTTATTCAGGAATACTTCACGAGGAAAAAGACAGAAATTTTCCTTTATGAGACTGTCTATAGTTCATGAGATCGTTCGGAAGTACATTCCACATAATCCGGTTCTCCCTATCGCCGTTCGCGAAAGAGCTGACCCTGCACTTTCGAAAACAGTGATCCGGCAATCCGTACCTGGGTTACTATATGAATTTAGTCTGGAACGGTAGACTAAGGTATCAGAAGATAGAGACAATGGAAATTCGACAGTGTGAGTAATTGGTACCTTGAACCAGAAAACAAATTGGTGGCCACAATAAGTACATGTCAATGTCACATTATTAATCCTTTGGTTGTAAATTTGATTTGAATAATAAAAAAGTGGATGGCTCCTATCTCTCATAATTTTGCGGAATTCTGATTTGTGCTAGTGTATGTTCCAGTCACGGCAGCAAAGATTGCTTCAGCCAGGCCTTGAGGGACCATCTGGACCATCTAATATGAAACATCAGTACGATGACCTCTTCCTGCCATTTTATAACAGAAAACAAACCAAATGTCCTGTTTTCTCTGAATAAGTAACTGAGGCGAACTCCCGCCCTGTGCTGGCATCTGTCACTTTAGACTTGACGATTGCAGCGCTGAAATTCACGGAGAAAAGATGTCAATAATATCCTGAAGTATTGTTTATTACTTACACGCTATCGTTGAGTTTCCCCCAGATACAATGCATGGGAAGGCGAGCGCACAGCGCCGGTAAGAAATCGCACACTCCTGTGCGTCATAGGATCCTGATAACAAGCCTGGAAAACACCTTTAGTTCAACATAAAGATAAATGAAGGCTCATGATCAACTTACAACTTCTTGAACTTTGGTACATTTGAGCGTAACGCCTTCTCCTTCTGGGTATAAGGCAGTTGGAAGCTTCCTAAGGCCCTGTTCCTGGAATACATTATTATAGAGTGTTTTTCTGTTATTGCGACTCGTAACTTACGACGTAGGCTTTCAAAACATCAGGATGATAAACCTGGTAAACCTTTTTAGAAGAAAAGTCCTTGAAAGCCTCTTCACAACTCGGCCAGATATCTCTCCTTTTCGCTGTTATTGCAGGCCATGCACCGGTCGCCTTTAACATTCCTGGATCCATGTGTATATCGGTTGGAACTATCATGGGCTCACAAAGTACAATGGAGTGCAATTTAGGAGGAGCGATGTAAGACTGGGTAATGGAGCTAGAAGGAAAAAAATGTCATGAACTACATTCTCTATCAGATCCAAGCATACATACATTGCAACGGCTCCCATAGAATGACCAATTCCTATAACCTTGTGCTGATTGAAATTGACTTGTCGATTCTGAGTGAGGAACCAGCGCAGAACCTTTCCATACTCGTCCCACATAACTGGTGTCAAGTTGGAAAAGGATTTCTAAAGTATATAGATATAGTACTTACATGTGGTGTCATAGCCGCCCCTCAAAAGTAGTTGTTCATTCAGGATGGCTGAATCACCCTGATTAGGACAATCCACTGCCCAAGCCTCTCTGATGGGGAATGAAGTGGAATTCTTGGATAAGGCGAATAAATATTTGATGATAGATTCCCATTGCTCCTTGTTAAATCCATTTCCGTGTGCAAAGACGAGAGTGTATCCATCCGTCTTGGTCAAAGATGGATCCCAGTATCGTTTCGCGGTTACGAGAAATGGATAATCGGGTGTCCAATCGAAGGTATAGCTCTCGAAGTTGAATGTCATACTAATCGGTGTCAATGTCGAATTATCTGTGTCAGGAAATGTAGGAGAGGATTCAGCACGGTCATCACGACTCCGGCAATTGGGGCCCGTCGTTGGCCGGAAGCTTAACCTTTCTTTGGCTCCCGATAAGGCAATAAAAACTTCCTATTTTGGTTTAGCTCTAGATTGGGGTCTTCGTTAAATGAGTTTACCACGGGGGCTTCGATTGCGTAGAAGAAAGAATTCCCATGCCATGGTGATAAAAACTTCATAAATGTCCTAACACGTAGGGATTCGGAGATCTGGGAAGCCGCGGTGTATAACTGTATTTAGAATATATATTAATTCTTGTACATTATGTAGACATCTGCTACGTAGATATCGCATGTCATGCCTGGCTATAGTTTCACGAGTATCGTTTGTTTGCTAGAGAGGGTACTGATAATTGCCTCTGCCAGACCTTTCGGCACCATTTGTATGATCTTATAGAGAAAGAAGAAAAGGTCGATTAAGATGATAAAGCTGCCCGCAAAAATAAAATAAAAGACGCGTACTAAATGCCCAGCTCCTTTTACACGCACAACTGTGGCGAAGTTTCTTCCAGCAGTACGATCAGTCACTCTGTTCTTGATGTCGTTATCTCTGGGGAAATCTGAGTCGATTGATATCAAGTACACATTTTATGGAACCTACAGTGTGTCATTTATTTCTCCCCAGATAACGTGCACGGGTAACCGTGTAGTAAGCGTAGGGAAAAAATCATATAATCTCCGATTAGTATCCGCTGAGCCACGATAACAGGCCTAAAATCAGTACGAATCAGTCGTAGAGCACACAATAAGTCATTCGAAGTATCTACGGCCTCTTGTGTCTTCGAACATTTGAGTGTTACACCCTCTTTGTCGGGATACAACGCCGTTGGAAGTAACCTAAAACCGTGTTCCTACGATATTAGATTAGAATATGTCATTGGGTCATGTGTAGAGGACCCACTATGTATGCTTTAAGCACCTCCGGATCGTATATACGAAAAGAGCGTCTGGCAGACAGGTCTGAAGCGACATCCTCCAAACTTGACCAGATATCTCGACGCTTTTCGGTCACAGAAGGCCAAGAAGTAATGGATTTTGCGATTCTTGGGGATAGTGTCATATCCGTTGGCAATATAATAGGTTCGCAGAGAACAAGCGAATAAAACTTTGGGGGATCTGGGTAGGTTTGTGTCATAGAGCTGAAAAAGAGACGTTAATGAAATTCTGAACCTGTAGATTATTCGGTAAAAAGGTACAAACAGGCAAACAGCTCCCATAGAGTGTCCGATGCCGATAAATTTATGGTTGCTGAAGTCAATCTTGGGATTCTGAGTCAGGAAAAGATAGAGCGACCTTGTATAATGATCCCAGGAAACTGTATATAATTGGCCATAAGCTTCAAAGCAGAACTTAAGAAGAAAAAGGCGCACAAATCTCGTATTCTTCCCGCAAAAGTAAGTCCTCGTTAACAATTGCGGCATCGCCATGGTTAGGACAATCCACAGACCAAACTTCACGGATAGGAAATGCGTTCTTGGAAAAAGCAAAGAGATGTTTGATTGTGGGTTCCCACTGTTCTTTGTGGAAGCCAGTGCCATGAGCGAGGATAAGCGTATAGCCTTCTGGAACGTTGGAGGAGTCCAAGTAACGTTTAGCCGTGATTGCGAGTGGATAGTCTGGTTTCCAGTCAAAGACGTAACTCTGAAGACTGGAAGTCATAGCAAGGGAATGTTAGAAAGGAAGACACGCCAAGCCTAAGTTTGGAACATGAGTGAGCCCGATCGGACAGGAGCCGGCAATTATCTAGCTTCTTGCACACATGTCCGATCGGAAGGCGAAAGTATACTATGAGACCAGAACAAGGTGAGAAAGTACTATGCCGCGACAGGATGTCCAGAACTCGACTATCAGGCCACTTTATGTTGATAGAATCCCTTAGAATGTCCATAGGAGTATATTACATTAAATCAGCGAAGAAAAATAAGCAGTGGATGGAGAGATACTCGAATAGAAAAATGTGCCAAGACATCGTCATTTTACGCATGACATCCTGTCCCGCGCACTTATACTGACATTTACATTTCATCCTCCGCATATTTTTTTAAATATAAATCAATAATAATATTCCTATATATATTTAATTTCTACAATAAAAAATTCGGAGCGAATAGTGACGATGCGATGGCTCCAGAAAATGAACAAGCCGAACACGCTACATCCTGTCGCGGTATAATAAACAAGTATAGCCAATGATAGCTCTCGTCAAGCTCGCGCAGCTAATTCGATATCAAGCTTTGCTTGAACTTATTTGAAATAAATTGTTATGATTATGTTACGGCGACCGCGGGCCGAGGCCGAGCTTCAGCTGCAGATGCTGTTGCGTTGTAATGCAATGCGTTCTTGAAAAGGGAGACTGACTTCCTTTAGTAAACTTCCCCTAGTAAACTTCCCCAAACGAACCTTGTTAATAAGGTCACGAAAAATATACATGCGGGGACTCGAACCCCGGCCGCTTGCTTGGAAGGCAAGCATAATACCGTTTTACCACATGTGTCTGGAGAGGACCCAAGTGCTTCGTATTGCTCACACATGCACCTCCAGAGCCTTATATTGTAAGGATGTAAATCATATACATATGTTCTCTAGTAGCTTTCATTTCATTTACTATTATATTTTCAGGGATTCAATCGTACCTTTAGGCCTGAGGCAAGTCTAGGCTCAACTTCATTGGAATGCGAATATACGAGTTCTGCAGGCAGGCATTCGAAGGTGTATGCGGATAGATTCATTTCGGCGTAAGGAGAATGCCGAAGACAACTCCAAAAGCCCGCAGATCGTATTCGTATGGGACACCCCCAGAGAAGTCACTTATATTATTTATGTTTCAATAGTTGCGAAGACGGGTTTACTGGAAGTTCCATCGAGTTGTAGGTACTTCTTTGAGCATGTGCATGCAGTTTGTAACTTTAAATGCATGTAGAATGGAAGTCCACGATAAGGATTCACCTTGGCCTTCAGCTGATCCCGCTGCAAAGATCATTTTATTGTAGAGAGTTGCGTAACATTTATCCGAATACAGTCAAATCTATACACTTGAAAAGCAAAACTACGTTCTTATAGAAAAAAAATATAAGGCATGTAATAGTAATTGTCAACGATCCATCACGGTATGCTGCACTTTTCACTATACTACTGTGGCATACGTTGGAACCGTCTATGTATTAGCAATTCCCAAAACATAAAAACCCATTGGGGGAAATTCCGTAATGAATTAGGTTCCAGAGAACGAATCAAAGTTAAGGGGTTCCAGAAAGCAAAGGATATACTTTAAAAGCCCGATATTGAAGGAGTCAAAGAAGTGAAGAATCAGATACAGATACCCTCATTCATCACTGTCAATAGTACTTCGTTGTCTTAGCCCTGTAGGCTGCCGCAGGTCGACGAACGGCGTGTCCTTGCTTGTTCTTGTAAAAGACAATGTCTCCTAAAAAAATCGGTATGAGAATTAATTCCCCTTCATATTTCCATTACTGACCTTCGTCCTCCACGAACTGGCAGAAGTTGTAATTCTCCCATAGCGTCTTGTACACCGGCGCTTTGGAATATACATAATGTTCCCCGATTAATTCTTTCAAATATTGAGTGGCTTCTGCGCCATGATCTGTTTAAGTAATTGTTCAGGTACGGATAACAATTATTTAGGAGTTTTCCGAACTCACAGAAGGGCATTTGAGGGAAGAAATGGTGAACGACGTGATAGTGGGCCACATCGTGCAGGAAAAAGCGACCTTGCCATCCTAAGAAATCACGATCTACGGTGCATGCAGCCCCTCTCTGGAAGGACCATTCACCTTTTCGGAAGTGCGGTAACTGCGGGTCGGTGTGATGGAGGTAAGTAATCATGATAAACTGGCAGATCGTTTCAGGGCGAAGAATGTTAATAATATTCAATTCAGGAAAACAACAGTGCGGGCTTACCCAATGTGATACCGCCAACCATGGGATGCCATAATATTTCGCGACATTGGCGGTTCCGTATATGGAACTCGCCAATGTGACGATCCAAGCCATAAACATTATACCAATATTAGATGCGATGATGACTCCTCTTTGGCTTGGATTAAACAATATAGAATTGGCTGAAGGTAAGAGTTCATTAGTTTCAGGACTCCGCATATATATGGATTATGACATACGATCAAAGTGGTTGGTCCATTTAGGGTAAGTCTTTTGCCCGGACACATTGAATAGAAGATAGGCAGGGAATGCGAACAACTGCTGTCGGATGAGCATAAAGAGGGTGTAGATAGGCGTATCCCCGAGGTACTCTTCATAGTCGATCGGTTCCTTCCCTTCTTTGGGGATGCCTAAATCTGCCCGAGTCTTCGGAACATACCTATATGCGATAATCAGGGTTTACTATCGTTTTAAGTAATACAATGCACTTACACTTCATCCTTCTCCATCGAAGCATGATTACTATGGTGTCGGTGATGAGAAATTCGCCAACTGAAGTAAGGCGTCCATAATGCTGTATGTAACGTATAACCAATCACGTCTGAGATGGTCCTAGACGATGAAAATGCTCCATGGCCACACTGATAATTGTTTAATACAGCCCCAACCATCAAACCGAATAGGAGAAGACGGTATATACCTCATGACCGATGACCCATAATCCAGTGAAAGTAAGGCCTTGAAACCACCAACTTTAAAACATCTCGTGTTAATAGCAACATATAAACTTTCGAGATACTACATACTATATTGCCCAAAGTGTCCAACGTAAGACCTCTGCTCCAGGAGAGGAGAGGATAGCCCTAACATACGGACTACGAGTGGTAGGATCGATATACGTCGCCGCATACCAGAGCAGAGCAGCCATGCTTAGGTCGCGCATAGTGTATGCAAGCCCTCTCCATGTACTACGCACAAAAAGGCGCGCAGGAATAGCAGCACGGATTTCTTTGAGGGACCTAAAGACGCCTAAGAGAAGAAGGAAGGGAAGAGAAGAAATGAAACTCACAAACTCAAGGGTGTATACTCAGGTAATGAGTCCTCGTTGTATACTTTGCTGATAGATACACTTTCCATGTTGCCAGAAGAAGGCGAAAGAACGAAGAGGGGGAACCAGATTACATGAATCATTGAACGAGACTTTTAAACGGCGACGAGAGAGAACAGAAAAACGGTTACATAATTTGGATAAGGATACGTCGTGGAAGGAGAAGGAATTGGCGTGAGAGGCTGGACCGAGGTAAGCGATAAAACTGAAGTGATCCGTTACGAAGCGATACCTCATGTCGTCTTATCCCTTCTGGGATCAGTGCCGCTGAATTCAATGGTGGCCGAATTATTTTCTTCCACCTTTCACGAGGGTTACAAAGATCTCTTTAATGCCCTCGTGTCGTTATCCAGCTGCGCTAAACCTTTGAAACAAAGCTGCCTTCCACATGGAGAAAAGAAATCCCAGTCCTTGAAAAATTAGAGCTGTCTGGCGATTGCAGGCGAGCCTTCGTGCCTACGTCCCTGCTGCATGGTGCTTTGATGCCATACTTTGGAGTCGCGAGACAACTACTCTGGAAAGCCGAGAGGTGAGCAAGGAACTTATGTAGTAGATTCTCTACGTACCTTCATTTATAAAGGGTGCTTAGAACTCAAAATACTTAGGTATCTGCTGGAACTATCGCTTCATTATTGGTCACAGATGTGACGTAGAGACATTGAACGCCAGAACTGTGCATTGAGCCTCGGCCGTATCGTCACGATAGTCACCCATTTCATTGCCGGTCTTCTTGTGGTTCCCCTGTAACCGACCACATGGCGGCTGTCACTTTGTCGCCTTTCCTATATCACACGTTTCAGGCGAGGCCCGGTAAGCCATTGAAACTGGTGAAAATATCGTGAAGTTGCCATGAGACCTAGTTCATTCAGTTAGCTTCCGGATATTCTTCGTGCTTCTTCAGTTCCTGGGTGTATCTTCTCATCTAGGGAAATAGAGTTGAAATTGGTGCACCTGAATGCCCTTACGAACCATGCTCACTTCGTAAAGCCGAAGCCCCTCAAGCCTATTTTTAGGTGTACTGTGCATCCCAGCAGTTCTGCTCGGACACCTTTGAGTCAAAATAATGGTTTTCTCATGCGCCTGGAGCATTGCGGTTGTTCCATTAAAGTATTTGAAATTGTACGTACCAGGCTCCAGTGTCCAGAAAACTTCAAAGCGCCTAGATATGAAGTCATTGGGCCTTTGCCGATTTAAAGCAGCCATGGGGTAATCCATGCTGCATTGAATACGATATAGAAAGTACCATCGGTGAATTTTACAGATGTGCCATTTGTGTGCCATATATGTCATTTGTGGGCATTCTTCAATGAAGTTCTATTATCAGGAAAGGGAAGAAATGATCAGCCTGGTACTGCGCCACAGAAGATTTGATGGGCACCGCTCACAGTCTTATTGGTGAATTTAATGATATCTTACATCAGTGGCCGCAAAGGATGTTCTGTTACTTATTGCAGGTGAATTATGGCCGGTCATGGGTGCCGAACTTTAGTAGTCCGACCGGGTTTGCCAGAAGATTGCGAAGATTTGTAGGACTTTCTTTGTATCAATCACTTGAATTGGAAAGATGGCCCTTGTAATTGTGAAATATGGACTGAAAGATAAGAGATATGTTCAGAATTCAGTATTACTTTGGCACTGTCGGGGGAAAGGTCATTCCAGCAGACAATATCAGCCAAGTAGGTTCTGAAATGTATTGATCAGAAATGAAACTTTCCTAGAACGACGCGAACTCACAACATCTATTCCAGTAAGATCGATACAGAGCAGAATGAACAGCATGTACAGTTCTTCTGCTTCTATCCGTTCCTGCCATGATCGAACATGCAATGCGCGCACGTCGGACCTCGACCCGGCTGGTGTACCGTGTACGGTTACTTTTCCAAAAACTGACCGACTGATCAGCGGCGACACGAGTCACTTGAGCAGACTGAAAATATCGCTTGGGAACTATGTCAAAAATAAGCGGCTAATGTCACTTGGTTTGTGAAATAGTAAGCCAAGAGTCAACGCTCACATCGATATGCTGTAATCCTTCAAGATAAGACGGGGTCCAGGAGCTTCGGATCTCAAGACAAATTCAGCAACGTACAAGTCTTTTAGTTAGTAAGGTTCCGTATTGAAAGTTCGGAGATGTCCACTTGGAAAATTATCCAACAACGGTTGCTGTTCGGCGAAGCCTTGAGAAGGAAATCGCGTCGTCCATCATGAAACTAGGTCATTTGCCCGGAAGTTAAGAAAACTTGAATCCCGACCCTTTTGCCTTTTGCCTTTTGCAACGGATATCTGTCAGAAAATTGATAAGAAGCTTGAAACAAACAGCCGTCTCAGTTGCTAGTCTTCTAGAAAAAAAAATCTTTACATGCTCGTCCATGTCGGCACCAGAAGAGAACTGCTTAAACTATGCACTGCAGGCAACTAAAAAATTGTCGAGCCTACACTCTACTCTGCACGTATTGTCAAAGGCGCAGCACCAGCCCAAATGAAGACGC